TGTTAGCTTCCCCGGGGGTGTGTGTTCACTGCCGGGGGGTTTGGGGTTTGCTACCCGGGGGGGTTTGGTTTGCTACCGGTGGGGTGTGTTAGCTCCCCCTGGTGTGGGGTTTGCCCCGGGGGGGGTGTTTTAAACTACCGATGGTTGTGTTAGCCAAACCCGGGGGGGTGTGTTGCTACCGTGGTGTGTGTTTTGCTACCCGGGGGGGTTTGTAGTTTCCGGGGGGGTGTTTTTTAAAACCCCCGGGGGTGTTTTAGGGTACCTTTTGGGTTGGGGTTTTGCCACCGTGGGGTGTTTAGGTAGGGTGTGTGTTAGCACCGGTTTGGGGTGGTTTGCTACCGGTGGGTTTGTTAGTTAAACCCTGGTGTTTAGCTACCGGGTGGTTTTGTGTTAGCAAACCCCGGGGTTTTGTTTTTTTCCGGTGGGTGTGTTAGCTACCGGTTTTTTTTTGTTAGCTACCGGTTTTGTGTTTTAGCTACCGCGGTGGGGTTTGATTTCCGGTGGGTTGGGAAACTACCGGGGGGGGTTTTTTAGCTACCGGGGTGGGGTTAAATAAACCTGGGGTGTGTTAGGAAACCCGGGGGGTGTGTTAGTTTCCCTTGGGGTGTTCTCCCGGTGGGGTGTTTTGCTACCGGGGGTATGTTTTGCTTCCGGGGGGGTTGGGTTTTTTTTGTTAGCTTCCGGTTGGTTTTGTTAGCTACCGGTTTGGGTGTTGTTTGGGTCCCGGGGGGGTGTGTTAGCTAACCGCGTGTTTGGGGGGTTGGGGGTTGTACCGGGGTGTGTGGGTTTGCTTTCCGGGGGGTGTGTTGGGTTTCTCCCGTGGGGTGTGTTAGGGAGGTTGGGGGTTTTTTAAAAACTTTCCCTTTTGGTTTATTTTTTTGAGTTCCCAGGGGGGTTTTTCTTCCCGGGGGGGTTTGATTTAAATTCCTTTTAAGGGTTGGGGGGGGGGGGTTTTTTATGGTTTTTTAAAAAACCCGGGGGGTGGGTTGGGGGGTTTTTAGGGGCCTGTTATTTTGCCCTTGGGGTTGTTAACTACCGAAAAAGGGGGGGTTTGTTAGGGTTACCACCAATTTTTGTCCTGTTTGTTTTAAACCTGGGGTTGTTTTTTTTGGGGGTTTTAAAATTTTGGGGGGGGGGGGTTGTTAGCATTGGGTTGTGTGGTTAAATTTTTTGTTTTTGCTGGGGTGTTTTCTTTAAAAGGGGGTGTTTTTGCCTGGGGTTTTTTTACCCCGGGGGTTTTTTAAATAGGGGTTGGGTTTTGTAAGGGGGTTTTGTTAAGGGGGTTGTTTTGTACCCTTTTTTTTTAAAGGGGGGTTTTAGAAGGGGGGTTTTCCCCGTTTTGGATCCTTTTTTTATGGGGTTGGGATTGGTGGTGAATTCGGTTTGGGTTTTTAAGGGGGGGGGTTTTGCCCTTTGTTTTTGCAAATTGGGGGGTTGGGTTTAAGGCGGTTGTGAACTCTTGTTTGTTTAAACAGTTGGGTTTTTTTAGTCCTGTTGTTTTGGGGTACCGGTTGGGTTTTCGGGGGGTTTTGGGTTTCTAAGGTGGTTTGGGGTAAACAAGGGGTTTTGGGGTTGCTTCCGGGGGTGTTGGCAAAAGGGTGGGTTTTTCAGGGGGGTTGTTGAAAAATTTGGGGTTGTTATGGAGGCCGAGGGGGACCAAAAACCTTTGTGGGTTTGTACCGGGGGTGGGGTTGCTAGGGGTTTGTGTTTAATGGGTGGGGTTTGATACCTGGGGTTTGTAAGGTATGGTGTGTTTATACCTAATTTTGGTTCAGGGGGTTTGTTTTGTAGGTGGGGTGGTTCTACTGTGGGGATTTTTAAACTTTTTTTTAGTCCGGGGGGGTTTAAGGAATTCCCTTTTTTTTACTCCCGGGTGGGGTTTAGCAATTTTGTTGCCTTCCTTTGTGTTCCTGTTTTTTTTGAAGCCAAATTGGGGGGTTTGGGGCAGGTTTTTTTTGTGTTAGAAAGGGGTTGTTTTGTCGGGGGGTTTTTTTTCCCGGTTTTTTTTGGGGTTTCAAAAAATTGGGGTTTTTGTTTTTGGTTGGGGGGGGTTTTCTCCCTGGGTTTTTCCACCTTTTTGGGGTTTTTTTAAAAAACTTTTGTTGCCCCCTTTTTAAATAGTTGGGGGGGTTGCTAGGTTTGGGGTTTGTTAAAAATAATGGTGGGGGAAAAGAGCCGGGTTTTTTTACTAATGGGTGGGACCTTTTTTGGACTTCCCTGGTTTGTTTTAAGGGGGGACTTGGGAAAAGGGTTGACCTTCGTGGGCTTCCGGGGGGGGTGAAGGTAGGGGGTGGGGTAAATTTTCCTGGTGTTTTAGCTCGGGGTTGGGTTGTACCTGGGATTTTTACTGGGGGGTTTGATCCTTGGGGGTTTTAGAAGGGGGTTCATTTACTTTGTGGTTTTTTCTTGGTGGGGTTTGTTATTCCTTTTGGGTTTTTAGGCAAAAACCCTGGGGTTTTTTTTTTTTTAGTTTGTGGGTTTCCAGAATCTGAGAGAGTGTTTTCCAGGCCTTTTTTATATCTCCTCTTGTTTCAGTGAATCTGCTGGAGTAGTATAATTGCTTGGCTTTTTTCATTAGTTTGGTGAGAGCTGATGAAGAGTGTTTAACAGTATCTTTATGTATTAAACACTGCCTATATTGCTTTTTATATTGATGTTTCTTATCTACGGATCTTAGTACGCTGTTAGTTAGTCATGGACAACCTAGCCGTTTATTCATAATCTGTTTCATTTTTATAGAACAATGTTTATTATATAGTCTAAGTAATTTTTTAAGAAATATGTCAAAGAGAGTGCAAAAATTATAGGGGGATAAGTCTGCTGAGTATACCTGGTAAAGTGTATGGTAGAGTTATTATTGAAAGAATTAAGAGTAAGACGGAGCATAGGATAGCAGATGAACAAGGAGGCTTTAGGAAAGGTAGGGGGTATGTGGACCAGGTGTTTACAGTGAAACATATAAGTGAACAGTATTTAGATAAGGCTAAAGAGGTCTTTGTGGCATTTATGGATTTGGAAAAGGCGTATGACAGGGTGGATAGGGGGGCAATGTGGCAGATGTTGCAAGTGTATGGTGTAGGAGGTAGGTTACTGAAAGCAGTGAAGAGTTTTTACGAGGATAGTGAGGCTCAAGTTAGAGTATGTAGGAAAGAGGGAATTTTTTTCCCAGTAAAAGTAGGCCTTAGACAAGGATGTGTGATGTCACCGTGGTTGTTTAATATATTTATAGATGGGGATGTAAGAGAAGTAAATGCGAGGGTCTTGGCAAGAGGCGTGGAGTTAAAAGTTAAAGAATCACACACAAAGTGGGAGTTGTCACAGCTGCTCTTTGCTGATGACACTGTGCTCTTGGGAGATTCTGAAGAGAAGTTGCAGAGATTGGTGGATGAATTTGGTAGGGTGTGCAAAAGAAGAAAATTAAAGGTGAATATAGGAAAGAGTAAGGTTATGAGGATAACAAAAAGATTAGGTGATGAAAGATTGAATATCAGATTGGAGGGAGAGAGTATGGAGGAGGTGAATGTATTCAGATATTTGGGAGTGGACGTGTCAGCGGATGGGTCTATGAAACATGAGGTGAATCATAGAATTGATGAGGGGAAAAGAGTGAGTGGTGCACTTAGGAGTCTGTGGAGACAAAGAACTTTGTCCTTGGAGGCAAAGAGGGGAATGTATGAGAGTATAGTTTTACCAACGCTCTTATATGGGTGTGAAGCATGGGTGATGAATGTTGCAGCGAGGAGAAGGCTGGAGGCAGTGGAGATGTCATGTCTGAGGGCAATGTGTGGTGTGAATATAATGCAGAGAATTCGTAGTTTAGAAGTTAGGAGGAGGTGCGGGATTACCAAAACTGTTGTCCAGAGGGCTGAGGAAGGGTTGTTGAGGTGGTTCGGACATGTAGAGAGAATGGAGCGAAACAGAATGACTTCAAGAGTGTATCAGTCTGTAGTGGAAGGAAGGCGGGGTAGGGGTCGGCCTAGGAAAGGTTGGAGAGAGGGGGTAAAGGAGGTTTTGTGAGCGAGGGGCTTGGACTTCCAGCAGGCATGCGTGAGCGTGTTTGATAGGAGTGAATGGAGACAAATGGTTTTTAATACTTGACGTGCTGTTGGAGTGTGAGCAAAGTAACATTTATGAAGGGGTTCAGGGAAACCGGCAGGCCGGACTTGAGTCCTGGAGATGAGAAGTACAGTGCCTGCACTCTGAAGGAGGGGTGTTAATTTTGCAGTTTAAAAACTGTAGTGTAAAGCACCTTTCTGGCAAGACAGTGATGGAGTGAATGATGGTGAAAGTTTTTCTTTTTCGGGCCACCCTGCCTTGGTGGGAATCGGCCAGTGTGATAATAAATAAAATGTCAATCCAGTCATCGATACCATTGGCATTGGAGAAGTCTGTTTGCCAGTCAACAGTCTCTAGCTCTGTTGTGAAGTTACTTACTGAGGCCTCGTCATGGAGTCGAAAAGAAACTTTGTTGTATTCCAGTAGTGGTTTACTAATGTTTGTTAAGAGGAAGGTGGGGTAGTGGTCAGTAGTTCTGTCTGTGATTATCCCTGATTTAAAGGGGGGCTAGTATATTGGTCCATATATGGTCAATTATGGTTGCAGTTGTCTCAGTCAGCCTGGTTGGTTTAGTTATTGTTGGTATGAGAAGTGTGTTGTTCATATTGTTGATGAAATCTGTTACTGGCTGAGACCAAGGTTGATATTGAAGTCTCCGGCTAAGAGAAAGTGGTGCTTGTTCAATTGGTTGTTTATTATTAGTGTCTTTAATTTATCACTAAAATTTGGGATGTTTGTATGTGGCATTAAGTAATAAGTCGATTCCTACATATTAGACAGCTGTGTAAGTCACACCCTAGGGGAAGACTGGAATTAAAATAATATCCGTCCTGTGGACGGTAGTAACTAGTTTATTGTGTGTTCCACATTCATCTTGTGAACGGCAGTATTTATCTTCACTGGGATGTGTTGTGTTAATACAACATAGAACGTTCTTCCCACAGCTATCAGCTACTATCTTCAGGTGCAGAGGAGGACCATCTACTCCCTCTTCTTCTTCATCATGCCTGGTATACTCATCAACTTTTGTGGTGAGTGTATCTCCATCATTTACCTCATCACTACTCACTCACATTACTCACTCAACCAGCTCACTTCACAACTAACTCGTAATTTAGAGAGACAATTTCAAGACAAACGTTACGGTGCGACCGGCACCGATTCTGGTCCAGAACGAACCGAAAGGTTGTCTAAAATTTCCAGAGACTGCCAAGGAGTGTGTCTCTCTCCCAGTGGCCGGAGGGTCGAGCATCCACTTACTCTTCCCCCCCCCCCAACAACCTTCACGGGATAGATCTGTTGCTGACATTTAACAAGCTCATAGAAGAGGCAAAGAGTTGTAACACTGCCACAGTTTTCTTCCTCTCATAAGAACATAAGAATGAAGGATCACATCAGCAGGTCAACTGCCCCATACTAGGCCATTTAACTTCAGTACCTCTCTCTCTCTCTCTCTCTCTCTCTTCTCTCTCTCTCTCTCTCTCTCTCTCTCTCTCTTGTCTTTTTCTCCGATATGACCCCTCAAGGAAGGTTCCTTGATGCTGGTGAAGGGCTCTTGATCTAGGGAATTGGATATGTGCTCCAGTTCCCTGAATTAAATCTGAATACCTTCCACATCCCCCCACAGGCGCGGTATAATCATACGGGTTTAGTGCTTCTCCCTTGATTATAATAATAATTCTCCGATATGATGTGTATTAATATAATAATATTAATTAATACTAACACTGGTCTGCATGATTTTTTTATTGACTCTCTGGTATATTTCTCGGTATATATATGGAAAATAGTGATTCACTGTGTTTCTTATTCATCTCTATCACATCAGGTCGTCAAGTTATACGGAAACGTTATTTTTCTCTTTTCGTATAACATAAGTAAATGAGAATGTGGGATATTATCAGTTGAACATTAAAATGGTATAAAATACCGACAGGTTGTTAGGTAAGACACATATGCAACAGTTAGGTATCTTTATTTCGAAACGTTTCGCCTACACAGTAGGCTTCTTCAGTCGAGTACAGAAAAGTTGATAGAAGCAGAAGATACTTGAAGACGATGTAATCAGTCCATCACCCTCTGTACTCGACTGAAGAAGCCTACTGTGTAGGCGAAACGTTTCGAAATAAAGATACCTAACTGTTGCACACATATTATCAGTTAAAATGCTTACCTTATAATGACTAAATGTTAAATCTAATATATTTTTCTTTATTTTCATATTATTAATATGCCTAGAAGCTACATAAATTCACAAGACATATTTTGCTATGTCTGCCGGCAGTTCACCCTTCAGATTCCCGGAGCAACATTACTCCTTTATTGAAGCGCTGCTACTTTGCTTATTTTGGCAGCAAACTTGGAGACCAGGACAAACCATTTGGACCACACAAAGCCTGCAAAAGTTGCATCAGTAAGCTCCAGATTTGGTCAGTTGGTACCCTTTGGGGTACCAATGGTATGGCGGGAGTAAATGAACCACCATGATGACTGCTACTTTTGTATGACTAAAGTAGCTGGATTCAACAAGAAGACTAATGATCGCATAATATACCCAAATATTCCTTCAGCAATAAGGCCTGTTCCACACTCTGAAGATATTCCTGTACCTGTGCCACCTGAGACATGGCAAATTTCATCAAAGTCTTATGCCAGTGATTATAAGGAGATGGAAGTAGACTATGAACCACCAGCACATGACAATTCCAAACCCTTCAGCTAAGTTGAGCTCAATGACTTGGTGAGAGACCTTAACCTTCCAAAAGAAAGTGCACAGTTACTTGGCTCTAGACTGAAGGATCGGAGGCTTCTAGCTCCTGGAACAACATTCGCTTGGTACCGTCATCGTGAAGCGGAATTTACTCAGTTCTGTGACAAAGAGGAATCTTTAGTTTTCTGTTCAAATATTTCTGGCCTTATTGAACACATGGGGATGTCATACAAAGCAGATGAATGGAGAATCTTCGTTGATTCTTCTAAAAGAAGTTTAAAGGCTGTACTACTCTACAATGGCAACGCAGCTGCAACTGTGCCACCACTCCACATCAAATTAGGGCTGTTGAAAAATGTTGTGAAGGTCTTGAACAAGAATGGAACTGCTTTCAATTACCTGGAGTTAAAGTTTCCTCTTATAAGTGAAGGTAAACTAAAGGCAGGAATCTTTGTTGGTCCTCAGATTCGGGAACTGATGAAGAACAAGCATTTTGATAAAGCATTAGCAGGTGTCGAGGTGAATGTCTGGTTTTCATTCAAGCAGAATGTCCACAACTTCCTGGGAAACAGGCGCTTCCCCGAATATGAGCTAATGATCTAAGACCTGTCTAGAATGAGTGTGCAGACACACTTTTTGCACTCACATCTTGACTATTTTTCCAACAATTGTGGGGACTACAGTGAGGAACAATGAGAGCGATTCCATCAGGATATTTGCACCATAGAAACTCGATACTAGGGCAAATGGAATGTCAGCATGATGTCAGATTACTGCTGGCATTGAAACGTAAGGGTTTCTCGATCCCCGCCAAGCAAAAATTAAAAAACTTTCCCTCCTTCCCTTAAATCGTATGTAGGCAAACCATTGGTAATTTTTTTTAAAAAAATCTTTTTTTTTGATTTTCATGTTGTTTTTGGAATTCACTGTTTTTTAAAAAAAAAGATGTGTTTTTCCGTACTTCCCGTTTTAATAAAGTAAAATTTATTAAAAATTCACTTTTTTTAAAATTTTTTAATTTGTTTTTTTATTAAAAATTTTACATGATAGAGAAAAAGGGTTTTTGTATTTCAATCAGAGCTCAAGAATATGTAGACCGAAAACCTGAAAAAAAAATAAAATTAAATTTCCATATGCAGCCAGTGTAATTAATAATAAAAAAATTTATTATTTTATTATTATTTTATTATTTTTTTTATTATTATTAATATTTTTAAATTTACCGGAAACGCTAAAAAAGGTGAGAAATCCAGCTTTGGGAAAATGGGGGGGTCATCAGCTTTGTCAAAAGGAAAGATTAGGAAGCTCCACCTTCCTGGGACCCGATCTCCTTGAACAATGAGAGTGCGTGTGTTGTGTGGGGGGGGATGACACTTCTCCCCCTCCGCAGCCTTGATGGTCTTTCGCTGCCTTGAATCTGGAGAGAAAATCGGCCCGGGGTACCAACTCAAGTTGGTATGATGGGCTTCCTCATGGATGCGGAGAAGTCCCGCCCCACCCAGAAGTTCCCTTTGCAGGTGAGAGCAGACTTTATGAAGCTTTTTGGTTACATTCAGGGTGAAATTTTTACTCGTGTTGGTTCTGCGGAAAAGGGGTAATGTTTCACTCGTGTGGCACTGATGCAGGAGATAATGTTTCACTCGTGTTTTACTGACGAAGGAGTGTAATGTTTCATCGTGTTGGTAGACGACAGGAGTAATGTTTCATCGGTGTAGGTACTGACGACAGGTGTAATGTTTCACTCGGTTGGTACTGACGGGGGGTAAAGTTTCCTGTGTTGGCCTGACAACAAGAGTGTAATGTTTCACTCAGTGTTTGGGACTGGAAGGAGTGTAATTTTCCCTCAGTGTTTGGGACTGGGGAAGGGGGGTAAGTTTTATCAGTGTAGGGTTTGGGACAGGAGGTAATGTTTCACTAGTGCGGTACTGACGAAGGAGTGTAATGTTTCATCAGTGTGGATGACGACAGGAGTGTAAAGTTTCCTCAGTGCTGGGTACTGACGACAGGAGTGTTTAAAGTTTCACTCGTGTTATATGACGACAGGAGTGTAAAGTTTCACTGTGTTGGTACTGACGAAAAGGGGTGTAATGTTTCACTCGGTGAGGTATTTAGAAAGGTGTAGTGTTTCACTCAGGTTGGACTGCGACAGGGTGTAATGTTTTACTCGTGTAGGTATGCACAGGAGTTAATGTTTCACTCAGTGCTGGTATGAGACAGGAGTGTAATGTTTACTCAGTGTAGGACGACGCAGGAGTGTAATGTTTCACTCAGTGCTGGTACTGACGACAGGAGTGTAATGTTTCACTCAGTGTAGGTATTGACGACAGGAGTGTAATGTTTCACTATGTTGGTACTGACGCAGGGTGAATGTTCACTCGTGAGGGATTGACGAAGGGTGTAATTTCACTCAGTGTGGGATGACGCAGGAGTGTAAAGTTACTCGTGCTGGTACTGAGCAGGAGTGTATGTTTCACTCAGTGCTGGTACTGACGACAGGAGTGTAATGTTTCACTCAGTGTAGGTATTGACGACAGGAGTGTAATGTTTCACTCAGTGCTGGTACTGACGACAGGAGTGTAATGTTTCACTCAGTGTAGGTATTGACGACAGGAGTGTAATGTTTCACTCAGTGCTGGTACTGACGACAGGAGTGTAATGTTTCACTCAGTGTTCATACTGACGACAGGAGTGTAATGTTTCACTCAGTGTTGGTACTGACGACAGGAGTGTAATGTTTCACTCGGTGTAGGTATTGACGACAAGAGTGTAATGTTTCACTCAGTGGGTATTGACGACGAGTGTAATTTTCATCGTGTGGGATGACGACAGGAGTGTAATGTTTCCTCAGTGTTATTTTCTGACGACATGAGTGTAATGTTTTTCCAGTGTGGTACTGCGACGGGGTGTAAAGTTTCAATCGGGTTTTTAGGTATTGAAATAAAAGGGGTAATGTTTCACTTGTGATGGTATGACGACAGGAGTGAATGTTTCATCAGGGTTTGGGATCCCATAGAGTGTAATGTTTTACTCAGGGTTGGAACTCACGATAGGTGTAATGTTTCCCCCAGGGTTGGTAATCACGTGGTGTAATGTTTACTAGGGTGGTACTGACAAAGGTCTAATGTTTATCAGGGTTGGTATGCGACAGGGTAATGTTTCATTAGTGTTGATACTGATGGCAGAGTGCAATGTTCCACTCTGTGTTGATACTGACTGAAGAGTGCAAAGTTTCACTCATTGTAGGTACTGAAAGCAGAGTGTAATGTTTTACTCAGTTTTGTTGCTCAAGGCAGAGTTTAATGTTTCACTCAGTGTTAGTACTGACGACACTGAGCATTGGTACTGACAAACGAGTGCAATGTCTCGCACAGTGTTGTTACTGACGACAGAGTGTAATGTTTCACTGAGTGTTGGTACTGAAGGTAGATTGCAATGTTTCGCTCAGTGTTGGTAATGAAAGCAGAGTGTAATGTTTCGCTCTGTTTTGGTACTGACGACATCGTGCAGTGTTTCACTCAGTGTCGGTTCTGACGGAGAAGTGCAATGTTTCACTCAGTGAAGGTACTGAAAGCAGAATGTAATGTTTCACTCAGTGTTGTTACTGAAGGCAGAGTGTAATGGCGACACTGAGCGTTGGTACTGACAACAGGTGTTGTTTACTCAGTGTTGGCACGACGAGAGTGTAATGTTTCCTAGTGTAGGTTTGACGAAGGGGGC